TCAAGTTCAACCGGGAGATGGCAAGCTTTGCCGAACACCGCTCTATATGGTGACATCCCAATGGGTGTCTTATAAGCAGTACGGTAAGCCCATAATGCATCAATTAACCGTTGTGACCAATCTTTCCTATCCGGTCTCACAGTTTTCTCAATTATGTGCTTTACCTCCCTGTTTGAGACTTCCACTTGGCCACTAGTTTGAGGGTGGTATGGAGTGCCAACTTTATGAGTGATAGAGTATTTCTTAACTACTGATTCAAAGAACCGGTTACAAAAATGTGTACCCTGATCACTTATTATGGCTTTAGGAAACCCAAAACGACTAAAGATGTTTTCATGCGAAAATTTGATTACCACTCTATAATCGTTTGTTCGGGTAGCTATTGCCTCCACCCACTTAGACAAATAATCTACTGCCAAGAGAATGTACTCAAACCCGAATGACGACGGGAAAGGGCCCATAAAATCAATCCCCCAAACATCAAATATTTCTACCACAAGAATAGGGGACATTGGCATCATGTCACGCCAAGACATCGAACCCATTTGCTGACAGCGCAAACAAGTTCTACAAAATTGATGGGCATCTTTAAAAATTGTGGGCCAATAAAACCCACTCTGTAAAATCTTGGCGGCCGTTTTATGCCCACTAAAATGACCGTCACATGCAGAAGAATGACAAAATGTAAGAATACTTTGCACCTCACTCTCCGGCACACACCGTCAGATCACTTGGTCGGAGCAATATTTAAACAACTCCGGATCCTCCCAAAAGTAATACCTGACCTGCGAAAAGAATCGGTCTTTGTCTTGCTTAGACCAATTATGCGGAAGTTGCCCAATGGCCAAGTAATTCACAATATGTGCAAACCACGGGGGGCTCGCTTGTGACAGCTCAAAGAGTTGTTCGTCCGGAAACGAATCATGCAAAATAAGAGGGTCACTATTATACTCAACGAGGATTCGGGAGAGATGATCCGCCACCACATTCTCAGATCCTTTCTTAGCTCGGATCTCTAGGTCAAATTCCTGAAGCAACA